CACCTTTAAATGTTTTCAGTGTCGTATTCAGTTGTAGGGCTGCAACAAACGATTATTTGGATAATCGATTAATCGGATGGGGTCTCGACACGATTAATCGATTAATCGGATTACATGGGGAAATTTTTAAAAACTGCTAGGGAAACGTTATTTCTCTCCTTCCTTCACTTTATTTAACACAACATTATTAGAAAACAGTTCAATAGCAGAAAAACAACATGCCATCACCTAAATTGTCTTATAAGGTGTATAGACAGAGACCCTAAGCTACATCTATCTGTGACCTAAAATGCTTGGTCCAAGTTAAACAGCTTAAGGGCAATTCTCATCTGTTTTGTTTGATCTCATCTGTTGACATTTATTTTAAATGTAATTAAACATAGGCTGTGAATTAATCAAAATTGATCACTATTTCCAAAAATGACTGAAAAAATACCAAATAAAACAAAAGTAAATGAATGCCATCCTCCTTGCGATGATGCCCTGGGCAACTGCCATAAAGTCACATCAAGAAATGCTGCTGATCATTCCAATGATCCCAAATAGACTCACATTAGGCCACATGAAAGCAACTGAACCCAAAAATATATTAACCAGTATATAACTGCACTCTCACACAACACGCCTGCAGCAACAGTTAGGACTCCTCCCTCCCTTTTAAAAGCGTTTTTGCTTCCGAGGACATTGTGGTTGTAAAACCACATGCTAGTAGTCTGGCCCCGGTGTGATCAACCAGTTTCTGCGGGAATGTGACGGCGGAACCAGGGCCAGATTAACACTTTGTTGTACCCTGGGCAACAATATTCAAGGGCTCCATCATCACGACCCAAGGATCACCATAATGTGGTCACATACAGAATATTTTACTGTAATATGAAGTAAATATACTCAATACTTGAATGCCTGACAACACGTAACCCGCCCAGAGTAACCTTTGACCCACCTCGTGTGGACTGACCAATGAGGAGAGGGTCTTAACTTGAGGCCCTCTCTTCATTGGTCAGTCTGCATGAGACTGACTCTCAACTGACGTTCAAAGTCGTAGGCAGCGAAGCGTCTCTGTGCAGCGCAAAAGCCCGGATGGACAGTTTGTTTAATGTAGGGTGACCATATTTCCATTTCCAAACAAGAGGACAGGGGATCTGTGCCTATGATGTCACACTATGGCAACGCCACACAAACCATGTTGGGACCCATTTTTTGTAAGAACTAAATTAATATCAGATTCTGCCAATTAAAGGGCTCTAAAACAATTCATATGTAAATATTTTGCATATTTAATGCAAAATCTAATTTTTCTGCTTTAGTGCTGCAACAAGGTTTTATTAATAATAAATTATTATACCTTTTGTTTTACTACAGCATCGGTAAGCTTCCTGTGCACAGATTATTAAGGATGCTTGTTTCAGCTGTGAGATTAGACGATAGGATCAATGAAAAAATAAGTTGTCACACACTCCATGGAAACTTTCAGAGAATCCACAAATAGTGGCTTTCAAATGGTTTTGTTACTTTTTGCAAGTTCAGAAAAGCAGCAGATGAGACAGCATGTCTGATAATTTAGTTTTCATCTGATAATATTAGAACATGTCAGTAATGTCTGAGGGGATTTTATAAACACCATATAACTAACACTCCTGGAGAGGGCATGAATTACACAGAGGCTTCTGGGGAGCCCAGTTATTGGAGGGGTGGGGGGGGTGGGGGGGGATCGCATTTTGCCTTGGCCCCCAAAATGTCTTGAAACGGCCCTGGGTGTGTGACTGAGTTTTGAAGGTGATCTGAATTGTATCAGATGTATAAATATTACATGTGTAGAACTTATTGTTTTTTACTGGTAAAAACGTGTCGTGGAGATAAATCTACCTACATTTTACTTTTCAACACTTTGTTTTGTTTTCTTGTTTTTATTGAACTATTTTCCTGTCCTGTCTGTCTCTCATCTTCCTGCATCTCCTCTTAATTCTCCAGAAAATCTGTTGCCTGGATTCTTACCTTTTCACCTCATCAGTTACTTTTGAGCAGATCAAAGGGATCTCCTGACCGAAAAGCTCAGAGTGCGTTTTCGATGCTGCGTGAGGTGAAATCACCGCAGCACAGGTGATGAGCTCCGCAGTAGCGCGCTTCAGGCACAAATAAGACAGAAAATAGAGAACATGTGCGGACATGAACGATCGTGTGCTAATTATAGTTTTTTGGTTGCGCCACTTTGAGAATGGACCGTGCGCTGGAAGCAGCTGCCTGGATCGCTGTGCAACAATGCGGAACCGGTTCGCAGCAGCGCAAGTCTGCAGGCTCTCCCTCGCGCTGATCTGCGGCTCTCCCTCGCGCTGATCTGCGGCTCTCCCTCGCGCTGATCTGACTTGCTCTGGTCTGCGCGCAACGGCGGGCGGGAAGGGGGGGCGCTTTTGGAAGAGTTGTGCGACACAACGAATCGATGACGCCATTCGTTGCCAACGCTTTTAGTAATCGATTTTCATCGAATTTATCGATTCGTTGTTGCAGCCCTATTCAGTTGGTTTGTGGATATAAGGCTTGTTGCACACTAAAGCCTGGGGCACACCGGAGACGGATGCACCACAGAAGTTAAATGGTCACACAGGACACACCGCATCGCTGAGCGCTTCTTGGAGAGTTGAGCGATAGTCACAACATTACGCGGGACTTGAGAACAGGAAGCAGGAAGTGACTGTATTGTTTACACATGATCAGACTTGCCGTTGTGTTTTGTGAGACTGATTCCTTAAAAATGGGTAAGCATGCTATTTATTAGAATATCTTAAGATCAGCACTGCGGCTGGGTTTGTGCCCCAAAGCCGTTCCGTGTCGTAATGTCTGTTGTAAGGTACTCCACATTGTTGTAAACAGTCGCTGTGCTGCTATGCCGCTTGAAATAGAACTGGCACCCATCTTCAGCACCTCGGCGCGGTGCTTCTGGGACACGGCGTGGCACTCCCCATGTAACCACTCTCATCAACTATAATGGCTTCTATTTAAAACGTGTCTGTCTGCAGTGTGCCCTAGGCTTAACTGTTTTATTGAAGTTCTTTTATTTAGACCACTGTGAAGGTGAAAAGTCAGTTTTTAATTGAGATGTTGGTCTTTTGTCAATCATATGAGGATTCAAACATGGAAATTTGTGTGCATCAGTGACTACGTTTACATGCAGCCAATATCCGGGTTATGATCGGGTTAAGGTCGGTATTCGGGTTTCTGAGTTGATCAGAATAACCCGTTTACAAGCATAAATAGAAAGAGTTACCCCTAACTTGCATAACCCGATGTAAATGCGGACGTTGGGGTAGCGTCAGGACGTGTGGACTACGTCCAGACGCTATACGCGTCATTTCCGGTTCTTCGTGTTCCGGTATCCGTGAAAACAACAACATTTTTCCCAGTTCGGAAGAGATAGCGACCGCGTTTGTTTGCGCTTTAGTTTCCTCGTCACTAAAAGTGTGGTGCTGTGCCGCAACTCGCCATGTTGCTCCCAAATAGTTGTTTACTTCCGGTGTTCTGGTGCATACAAGACGTCTCGCTACTCAAAAGACCAAGATTCCTTGCGAACAGAGCATGCGCAGAACACACGCTTTGATGGGGATATCCCGGTATGCGTTTACACGACCAAACATTCGGGTTAGAAAAGGGTTACCCCAGGTGTAGTAACCGGGGTTTTAAAAACCCGGTTATGAGCATATCCGGGTTTTTGGCGGTGTTTACATGGACCTGCGGAACCGGGTTATTGTGAACATTCGGGTTTTAAAAGGGTTACTGGCTGCATGTAAACGCACTCACTGAGTGGTTTGACTAAACCGGTTACTGTGTCTACGGTTATGATCGCGTTCCATTTGAAAACAGAAGCCAGCTAATTTGAACTTAAGGAATGTGATATACCGTACTGACCCGGATATTACTTTTATTTATTAATTTAAAGTAACTTTTAATTGTGGGGTCGTCTCATAATCGGGGTCTAAGCATTTGCACATGCTGATATTTGTCTGGGGTCATTACACGACTGTAACAGCAACAGACGCCGGGCTGTGTGTTCTTAACAGGAGAAAAAAAATGGAGACGAGAGCAGAGTGGACCGTAAGTGGGGCAAGTTAACAAACTAAGGCAGAGTTATGTGAATTTTAAGATGGTGGTGGACAATTCAGCAGAGGCGTCAAACTATCATGCATGGATGCCTTGGGTGGCCGCGAGGATGACGTTCTGGGAGGAGTCGGCAGGTGTAGCGATCTGATGGCACACCGGGACCGCAGCAGCATGAGTGAGGATGAGAGTGAGTGAGTACAGCGAGGCAGACGGCGACTGAATAAAAGCAGCATTTGACTTTTGATTTCACATGTCAGCAAAGTTCTGATAATTAAAAAAAATAAAAAATAGTATTTTTGCTCAGTATTTGTTCTCAAATTTTCTATAAAAATAGGTGAATTATTTTTTTTGGTCTTTTCCTGAAGATATAGGGGGGGTCATCTTATAATCGGGGTCGCCCTATATTTGGGTCAATGCGGTACTTTCCATAGCACATAAAATACAGAAGGTTAACACAGAAGGATCTGGAGCAGATGAATGACAGCATATCAGGGTGAGCTCTAGATGTCCACCAGAATCAACACTACAAATACCTTTACGTGAATTCACTGTAACTAATATCAAAGGACTTTGAGACTTGTGGAATACTTGTTACTCTACTTCAGTACCGGTAATCATAGAAACACCTGAGAAAAATACCTAAATCAATGAAGCAGCACTTTATTCTCTACAGCGTTGGCCATGGATGCATTTATAATCCCCTGCAGTCACACGTCCACCGACTTTCCTATCTCAGAAAGATTATTTGAACATCATCACTTTGATGACTCTATAACATTAAAGATGGACTCCATTGTGAATGCATATTCAGTTCTGTTGTATGCCTGACTCTGCAGCTTTTCTGTCTGCAGAGTGTGTGTTTTGAACTCATGCAACTGTGTGTGTGTGTGTGTGTGTGTGTTGCCTACCTGTCAACTGCAGGGTGGTACAATGGCCTGCTGTCCTGAGAGGACAGGTAGCTGTAGGCTGCAGAGCCTCCCACCACTCTGATCTTGAACACTTCAGCATTCTGCAGACACAAATAGACACATCAGTGCTGTGTGTAAGGGTTAGGGTGATGGCAGTTACACACGAGTAGGGAACTTTATTAAAAGGCGAGTGGAGGGGGCTCCATATCATAAGCAGTACTTCAATACAAAATTTAAATCCATCACGTGACTTCCTTCATCTTTCTGACAACATCCTCAGCATCATTCAAGCCACAGGGGAGCAGGTTTCACTCCATCACGCCGCTGATTGGTTTGCATCAAGGAAGTTTCATCTCTGTACAATTTAAAATGTATTGTTCATTATTTATTTTTTTATTTATCAGCAATCAGCTGAAAATCCCACAAAAGTGGAAAAAGTCCAGCTCTGGGATTGAGGAAAATGTTTCTACTTTTTATGAACAGACAGGGAATAGATTAGAAAAGGGTCCATTTATTTGGTGTTTTATAAGTTAAATAAGTCTGGTGGATTTTCTATTATTATTATTTTTTTAATTAAGAGAACAAATGCTGATGCAGAACCTTGACCTTGCTCACAGCTTCACATGCTCTGTGATTCATCCGTAGATGAAAAAGACTTAATAAATGTTATTCCTATTATATTAAAACAACATTTTTAATTAAATACTGTTTGCTGTGCTCAAACTTGTGCATTAAATATGTCAAACACATAATCAGAACTTTTTATTATCTTGTTTCAAACTTCTCATTTATATTTGCAAGAAAATGGGCCATAAAACAACTTTCACCTGAGACGCCTTGCAAAAATCAAGCCCATGCTGTCGAGAGCCCACCTGGAGCGGGTACTGCATGCCTTTGTAATTTCTAGGCTTGACTACTGCAACTCTCTATATGCAGGCTTGTGTCAGTCATCACTGTGTCGCCTACAGGTTGTGCAGAACAGCGCCGCCAGGTTCCTGACTGGGACCAGGAAACGGGACCACATCAGTCCGGTTCTGGCCTCCCTGCACTGGCTTCCGGTTCGCTATCGCTCATAATTCAAAATCCTCGTCTTTGTTTATCATTTCTTCCAGGGTGGTGGTCCCCCCTATCTAGCCACACTCCTGAACAGACACTCCCCATCACGCGCTCTGCGCTCCTCTGACCAAGGCCTGCTCGCTGTCCCTCGTTCTAGGTGTCGTACTCGCGGGGACCGGGCTTTCTCAGTCCTAGCACCGTCACTCTGGAACCAGTTGCCACCCTCAGTCAGGCTGTCCCCATCTCTGCCAGTCTTTAAGAGTCGCCTAAAAACACACCTCCTCCGCTTGGCGTTTCCAGAACATGTTTGATTTTGGCCCTCTTTTATGTTGATTTTATTTCACAGTTTTCATTGGTTCACTCAATCCATTGTTTTACACATTTGTCCGGTACCAGAATGTTTCATCTATTTTGTAATTTGTATTTTGTAATTTGAATTGCTTTTATTGATTTATTCAATATATTTACCTACAACTGAACCATGTTCAGCGCTTTGGGCTTCCTGACAGGGTTGCGGAAGGCGCTTTATAAATAAAGCTTTGATTGATTGATTGATTGAAGGCTGTCTTAGTGCGATAAAATAAAAAACATTTCTTTAATATAGTCTTGTAATATATATCATAAATGAATTGAAATAAATATAACGGACATAACTTAGGCCCTGTCCACACGTAGCCGGGGATCTGCCAAAACGTAGATATTTTTCTACGTTTTGGCCTGCCATCCACACGAAAACGGAGTTTTTTCACACGAAAACGGATCTTTTTAAAAACTCCGGCCAAAGTGAAGATCTGCGTTTTCTCCGTTTTGGGTGTCTGCGTGTGGACGGACAAAACCGGAGTTTTAAGGTCCGCAACGTCACTTTCCGCGACAAAAAATGCTGACATCACGTGTGCGACCTGTGTTTACACTAGCCGACAGCATGGACGCCCTCAGAGCTGCGCTCGCTTTATCAATTGTCCAAGCGCTTTTTGCTCGTTTGTTTCTGCAAGAGGAATTACTGCTCCTTGCGGAAGACCACAGACGAAGGACGAGGTTAAGAACGGGGGAAGTACTGCCACCTACAGGTCTGGCATGTCCTTAACAACGTATTTATCAGGGTACGTGTGGACAGAGTTTTTTTAAACGAGGTGGTGTGGATGCACGTTTTTAGAGGGGCGGATATTCGTTTTTAAAAAACCCGGCTACGTGTGGACTAGGCCTTAGAGGGGAAGTGGTTCACGGTCAATCTCTGCACTTCCAATATGAAAATGCCTGACCTGTAAAAATAAACACTGAATCTTCACGTGTGAGGGTGAGACTTTACAACCAGTGGCATCCCTTATCATCACAACAGCGGACCCTGAGAGTGGGTTCATCAGAGAGAGGAAAGTGCTCACCACAATTCCACCACATTGGCTTGACATCCTGAGAGCGACTCCAACTGGGCAGGTGGGATTAAACCCGATTGCCTACCAGGGTATCGTGCTAGCGCTACGACAAATGTGACGCAATAAACTAACATTGGATTCCAGCCAGAAGCTAATGCTTCATTCACGACTGTGGCATCATTGAGGTGAGGCGAAATAACAACACTCTGGTGTTTAGGTCTTGTGCTTGTTCCTCTCCTTCACACCAGCAGCTATTCCCTCACCGTTCCACTGTGACCTACAACCGAAGAGGGCCCAGGAATGGTGCTGTACGGGCATGGGTCGCTTTTACGATCAAAACGTATAAAACAGAGTTCTGACCCACATCATACCACTCAGTGGAAATGAGTAGGTAGATATTTTCTATCAAATGTGGAAAAGTATTTCTGACACGTCTTCAAGCATCATGTCTTTGAAGCTGATTAGTTTATCCCAAACGATTCATTTGTACACATGTGAGCTTCAGAACAGTGCTACGGGCCTCCAACGTGAAAACTAACCATACAAACTCGTACAGCTTTAAGCCCCGCAGCTCATGAAATCCAGTAAACACATTTAACTATAAACGTTCTGTAATCTGTTGGGAGGAGAAACAATACCTCTGCTTAAACTGATACTCCCTTAGAATAATAAAGTTGTTTATTTTGTAAATGGAAATGTATTCTGTGTTATTATTATATATATATTTTTTTATTTTGGATCCCATTTAAATGTTTTAGTTCAAACAAACATTAATTATGGGCCATTCCCATCTGTACCGGGTCGGCCCGGGCCGGGTAGCCCCAGCCTGGCCCGGTTGATTCCACACATCCTTGCTTTAAGCCCATGTGGGCTGATTCTACCCACCAATCAGAGGCTTGCTCTAATGGAAGGTGTGAATTTGCTGTCAGCAGTGGGTGTGTTGGCCCTGGTCGGCCTGAAGCAGACCCCCTCGAGAAGAGGGCTGAGAATGAGCCTTGTGGGCCATTCCCATCTGTACCGGGTCGGCCCGGGCCGGGTAGCGTAGGTTGTTTACATATCTGGGTGGCCTGGTATTTTTCCGGGCCAACCAAGGCTCATTCTCAGCCCTCTTCTCGAGGGGGTCTGCTTCAGGCCGACCAGGGCCAACACACCCACTGCTGACAGCAAATTCACACCTTCCATTAGAGCAAGCCTCTGATTGGTGAGTAGAATCAGCCCACATGGGCTTAAGACAAGGATGTGTGGAATCAACCGGGCCAGGCTGGGGCCGACTGGGGCTACCCGGCCCGGGCCGACCCGGTACAGATGGGAATGGCCCAATAGTGAATACAGAATCTCAACAGTTTAATGGGAGTCTCAGTCACGCCCATCTACCTCCGGACCATGGGTCCCGGGAAGAACGAAAAAAATCAATGAATGTGTGCCACGGATTTCACGGATTTCACATATGATGTTCGTGAAATTTAAAGATGCTCTTTGATACCAAGAAAACACTTATTTTCGTACGGGGGGAAAATTTATTTTAGGTTTTGTGTGAAAATAAGTCCAGGACTTCAAATGCGCATCACGGAAGTGGCATCATCAAACCAGAGTCGGAGAAGAGCAGAGAAAATATGGCTGTAAGCTCAGCGGACTTCAAATTCTTCCTTCAGATGGAAACAGCCACCATAAATCTGGTCATGTGGTAAGTAGCCGCTATGCTAGGGGAGAGGACATTATGTGGTGACGTCACATATGCAATGTGCCGATGTCTCATTTGTATTCAGGCTAATCACAAACTTTTACAAGCTGATAAATCTCAAAGTACTTGACTGGCATGGTTGAAACACACTTCAGTAGTTTTCATTTAAATAGAAGTACAACATATGTGCGATCCAGGGCGTAACGCAAAGCGGATTAGAAAATAACACTTTTAACCCCGTTGACTTGCATTCGTTTTTTCGCTCTTCCGGGATCAGAAAAGGAGGACCAACCTCAACTGCTTCCGCCTGATAAGACCATTGTTGGGTATTTTTATAATTGTACCTTTTTGAGGCCTAAAAGATGCCCATTTTGTGTTATTAACACATCATGAATCTCTGTGTTTGCCAACTACTGTGGCTGTTCATGAAAGGTTGAGCAAGGATGTTGATTGTAAGAAACCTCTGTACCTCTGTAACCTGAGAAGGCCCGCCTTCTCCTCCATCCATTGTGAATAAAGCCCCTGACGAACTGGGAGCACACGGGAGTGACGTGGGGAAGCCTCGGAGGAGGTTGCTCTGCGTTAACCCTCCATATTTTGGGACTCAGGGTAAAATGTCTTCCTTGTTGTCATGTGTGTTTATTTCAGGTTCCAGGGTTATGGAGATTAAATATTACCTAACATTCTGGTCTCCTGATGGAGAATGCGGGCATGCAGAGCTGGTGAGGTGAAGGCTTTGAGGCTGGAGCAGAGTGGGGGCTGGTTGGTTGAGTCCAGCTTCTCGCATGTTGATTTGCGCACATGGGCATTATAAATAATCAAGATTTACTCTCTCTCTCCGGGTGTGTCGTCCTTTAAGGTAATATGGGATAAAATTAATTACCTATCAACCATGTTTACCTGTAAAAGCGGCCCAGCTGAACCAGCATGCCATGATTCTGTCTCACCTTTCTTACTGTGATAACAGTTTGGAGTCAAGCAACCCAGTCGGTTT